TATAGTCGGCAGTAGTCTATTGATATAGGTGTGCACATGAGAACGAACTTGGGATATGAGGTTGGGATAACTAATTATTTACGTATACATGCTGAGACCATACCTTTCGATCATTGATTACTGTTTATTATTGAGATTAACATTTATTGCATAGTGGTGAGCACTACTTTTCCTCTTTTGCTCATCCCCACCTACTCTTCATGGATGCAGGTTAGATAGAGCGGCACGGCGGAGGGAGGCGAGTGGTGGTCATATATCTGATATTGCTTCCGCTTATTTGAATTGTTATTATGCTTTTCGAATAATGAGTATCGAATTATTGTTCGGGAGTGAGCTCCATAGTATTTATGATTTTGAGAAACCAGTTCAGGGAGTTGATGTTATTTATGAACCCGTTTGGGAGTTACATTATTGATATTACTGGAATTTATTTTGGAAATGAGTAGCGCCGCCATGTGTTTTGAATTAAATTTTGAAAAATTTATTCTGATTTTCGTTAAATAAAAGTGGGGCGTTACAAGTAGTGGGGCAGAAGCAGATTGAGGAGTGTTTCATAAACTTCTACCAGCAACTCTTTACAACTGAAGGTTCTTGGGGGGAAGAAGAGATCTTACCACTTATTCCCACTGTCATCTCTGAGGCAGATAACTTGAAGTTGGTGGCCCCTGTTGATGAACCTGAGATTATAGCTGCACTGTTCTCTATGAATCCAAATAAAGCTCCAGGAGAGGATGGTATGACCCCATTATTCTATCAGCACTTCTGGCCTCTTATTAAAGATGATGTATGTGCAGCTATTGTTAAATTCTTTGAAACTAGTAGATTGTCTAGAAGCTGGAATCACACTATCATTACTCTAATCCCTAAATGTGAAAACCCTGAATCTGTTACTCAATTTAGACCGATTAGCTTGTGCTCTGTCTCTTATAAGATCATTGCTAAAGTGATTGCTTCTAGATTAAAAGAATGTATGAACCTCTGCATTAGTGCAACTCAATCTGCATTTTTCTCGGAGAGGCAATTGCTTGATAATGTGGTGATAGCCCATGAAGTAATTAACTATCTGAATAGACTTAGGTCTGGGAGTAAATGTTTTATGGCGGTTAAACTTGACATGATGAAGGCCTACGACCGAGTAGAATGGAATTATTTTGCCAAAATAATGCTGAAAATGGGCTTCAAATCAACCTTTGTGCAATGGATTTTTGCTTGTGTCTCTTCATCTGTGTTCTCTTTCAATGTAAATAGAAATGTGACTGGTTTTGTTATTCCTACTCGTGGAATAAGACAAGGAGATCCTCTTTCTCCTTATCTGTTCCTTCTGGTTTCTGAGGTGTTCTCAAAGCTGATAGACAATGCTATTACCAGAGGTGAATTGCAGGGACTGAGTCTAGTCAGAGGTGGCACTATTATGTCCCACCTTATGTTTGCGGATGATGCTCTCTTATTTTGCTCAGCTGATATTAAAAATCTAAGAGCTTGCTTAGGATCTTGGCATCTTATCAAAATTTCACAGGGCAGAGAGTCAATCTATCCAAATCCTTTGTTTTTTTTCAGCAGAAATGTCACTGATAATCTGAAAGTTAATGTGTGTCAGTGTCTTCAAGGGATTGAGGTATGCTTTTCCTCCAGATATCTAAGCCTTCCTCTGGGCATTGGTAAATCTAAAAAAGAGATGTTTGAGTTTGTTACTGCTGCGGTGAAAAAGAAAATTATAAGCTGGAAGAACAGGTTTCTGTCATTTGCAGGTAAAGAGGTCCTCTTGAATGCTGTTATATCTGCCTTACCTATCTTTGTTATGTCCTGTTTTTGCTTACCTGTTGGAGTGTGTAAGGAAATAGCACAGCTGTGTGCTGATTTCTGGTGGTGTTCTGGTAAGGATCATAAAAAAAGAATCCATTGGCTGTCTTGGCAAAAAACTACTACTCCTAAGAGTGCTGGGGGATTAGGTTTCAAAAATTTCAGAGTCTACAATGATTCCTTAATTTTGAAGCAGATTTGGAGGTTGCTGACTAAACCAAATTCTTTAATGACAATAATCTTGAAGGAGAAATACTTTCCTGATGGATGTGTGCTGAATGCAAAATGCAAGACCTCTGCTTCTTGGCTTTGGAACTCTTGGGCTAGAGTGTTGAATGTTCATAAGGACATGTTCAGAATGCAGATTAAGGATGGGGTCTCTACAAAAATTCTGTCTGATCCTTGGGTTTTGGGGCTTAAATCTTTCATTCCTGAGATCAATCCTAATGTCGACTGTCTGCAGGTGACTTGGGTGTGGGAACTTTTGTCTGATTCTGGGAGATCTTGGAATATTGATTTACTACAACATCTCTTCACTCAGTCTTCTTGCAAAGCTATTTTGGCTCTGACTAATCTAAACCCAGAAGAGAGAGATAGATGGGTTTGGAGTCAGATGTTAAGGGTAGATTCTCTGTTGCTTCTGCCTATGCAGTTGGAATTGATCAGAAGGTTTTAAAGCTGGATGCTCCAAGCTGCAGCTATACTCTGACTGTGGATAAGAAAGCTAGGTTGAGATGCTGGTCTTTGAGGGTTAAGCCTAAACTGAGACATTTTCTTTGGAAATGTTTCACTAATAATCTCCCAGTGTGCCTGAATTTGGTTAAAAGGAAGTTGGGGGTTGATGCAATCTACAGATGCTGTGGTGATGCTTTGGAATCAGTTGAGCATTTCCTGTTTGACTGCAGCAGAGCTCAGAAAGTGTGGAAAGCCTCTCCTGTTACCTGGGACTTCTATGATGCTGCTACAACAAACTTCAGAGGATGGTGGTGGCAACTTTCAGAGTTAAAGTTATCATCCATTGTTGAAGCCAGAATTCAGCTGTCGACCTACATCTTGTGGTGGCTGTGGAAGTCCCGGAATTTATGGGTTTTTCAAAACACCTGGTTGCCTGAAGAGACTGTGGCTAGGCTTGCCCACAGAGAATGGTCTGAGTTATGTTGAGTTTTCGGTTTGTTGTTCTTGTTGGCCTTAGTTAGTTTTTGTTTGCTTTTCCCTTAGCTAGGTCCTTTTATAAGGTCAGTGGCTGGGAGTTGTTCATATCTGTGTTTTCCTGTTTCTTTGTGTGTTGTTTGGTTGTAGTGCCTTTGGGTTTCTTGACCTAGGTCTTGCCATGGGCACTTGTTTGTTGTTTGGGCTAGACCATCTTGTAGGAGTGGTTCTCATTATATTCTGTAAGGACTAGTATGTCCTCCGATTGTAAACGTTTTTATTTATTTATGAGATATCTAATC